TAGGTCTCTAACTTTCCAGACTACTGTTTCCTTTTATTCTAGGGATTTGAACAATAAGATATTGACCTTCATTCATTTGCTGCCAAGGATCTTAATCTTTCATTCCCCTTTATAATTTGCTGCATTTGATATCCCACTTACAGTTTTATTAATTAACCATGTGTATAGTTTTTATGTCTGTAATTATTAGACATTTTTCTATCATGATTAGGTAACTGGGCTGTTTAAAAAAGAAACACCTCCAGAATAGCTAAATTATTAAAGTTAATACCTACATCTGCCAAAACAGATTAGTAGTGAATTTCCAGAACAGAACAAATTGTCTTGATCTCCTTACCTAACACTTTGTTTTATGTCAAATTTTACTGCTTTCAGGGAGCAAGACTTTTTGATGTAAGTTTATATTTTGATTTAGAAATTTGAGGCTGCAAGTATAGGGCAAATTTATTCCTATTTTGGGGGTTGAATATTGTTGCATTATAGTTTTAATAGTATTTATACTATAATAATACTATATATTCATAATAAACTTGATCCTAGTATTAACTCATTATAACCTTGTTGAACTTACTGACCAAATGAGCTTGAATGTTGAGAAGTGAAGCTCTCTTTGGTTATATAAATAAATGCTAACTTACAAGTAACATTTACACTTCAGGTCTCAGTTTGTTCTCCTCCTTCATTAACATTATTTTTTTTTTGTATTTTGAATACATTAGTATTAATTCAAAAACATTGGCCAAGTAGAACTAAAACATTACTTAACCAAAATACTTACTGGATATTCTTTTTAATTTAGAGTATTCCTGAAAAGTTTTTTGGATTCAGTCGTGATGAAAATAATTTTAAAATGCATTATCTCCTTCAATGTAATTAATATTCCATTCTTCTTATAGTTTAATATTTCTTTATTCACTCAGGATTATACCCTGCTTAAGAGTCTGCTTGTCTTACCTTTTTGTCAGGGTGAGAGACAATGTTGTTGGATGGGCAGTGGAGTGATCACAGAACAAATGCTAGGAGTTGTCTTAAGGCATACACTGTGGTGGCTATGCTTTAGAGCCACAATGTTGAGGTTAAAATCTAACTCTGCCACTTCCTAACTATGTGATCTTGGGCAAAATACTTCACCACTGTTTTCTCATCTATGAAATGGGTTGTCTAGAGCATTTAATGAGTGAATATGTATGAAATGTTTAGAAGTGTGTCCAGCATATAGAAAGTACTCAATATATATCTATCTCAGAATAGTTAAACTGCCAATGAGTATATCTGATTTATTAAGAACTCAAGATAGTTTTACCTTAAAATATATTTTAATAAAATTAACTATAATAATGATACTTGCTTTTCGGATACAAATACATTTGCATTTTATCTTTTCTAGGATATTAGTACAAGTGGTTATTAATTAACCATATGTATAGTTTTTATGTCTGTAATTACTAGACATTTTTCTATCATGATTAGGTAACTGAAAAAAGAAACACCTCCAGAATAGCTAAATTTTTAAAGTTACTACCTACATCTGCCAAAACAGATTAGTAGTGAATATATTTTTTTATCCAAAATGTTGGGACCAGAAGTGTTTTGGTGTTAGAGTATGTAAACAAGTCTGGRTGGCGCCTGGCATTTTGCCAGAGGGAGTGGTTTGTGAAGTAACTCCAGGGAGCCATTAAGTGTGGAGATTTCTTATTGGTTGACTGCTGTATCTAGTTTATGTTAATTAAGATAAGCTGTGTGGAATGTATAAATACCTCTGTTGTCCTACAATAAATGGCTCCCACTCCTGCTGTATCAATGTACACAAGTTGTTCGTCACAAACCCCCCCCGCTAGTTTGCTGCAGCCAGACTGCGGCATTTTGGATTTCAGATTTCTTTGCTTTTKGGAATATTTTCATATTATGATAGACCTAAGATTAAACATGAAATTAATTTATGTTTCATATGTACTTGATAAACATAGCCTGAAGATAATTTTATGAAATATTTTCAATGTGCCTGTATGTTGACCATGACCTATCACATGAGGTCAAATGTGGAATTTCCTACTTGTGGTGCCATGTCAGCACTCAAATATTTTAGATTTTGGAGCATTTTAGATTTCAGACTTTTGGATTAGGGATGCCCAATTTGTAATGTTTTGGTACAGGGACACTTGGAGAGCATTTTTATATTTAGTAATCCCATGCAAAGGAAGCATGGAATTATGCTTTTGTTTTAGATAGATAGATAGATAGATAGATAGATAGATAGATAGATAGATAGATATTGGGTCAATTGAGGGACTAAGATGGCTTATCCATCTGTGGTCTGTCTTCTTTGCTAAGACTTCAAGTGGAGAGTACTGGTGTTTTCCTCAAATTTTTATTGGTTGTGGCTGAGTACATACTGACCCGTGACACAGTCCCTTGTCTGAGCATGTAGCACTTAAAATCTGAGTGCTCTGGGCCTCCCACACTGCCGCTCCCCAGGGAAAAGGCTTTGAAGGATTACTTGTGATTTGTTAAAAATGAGTAGATCTTGTACACTCTTAACAGTTCTCTTCGTCTCTTAGTTCATTTCCATTACGATTTTTATTGTAGGTTAGATGAAAAGGAAGTTAATTTATAAATACTGAAGTCAGAATAATTTTCTAAACATTTTATTGATCTTTTATTTCTTTTAACTTTCATTATAGCACATTAAAAAATCATGGTGTATAATTTGTTTTGAGAACTTTGGTATTACATTTTCATCCCTCGCTGCCCAGTATATATAATTGTTGAATGAACTGGCATCTCAGAAGGCCCATTCTTTGGCCAAATTGTCTTCATTTGTTTGCAGAGGCCTGCTGTGCCGTTTCAGCCATTCGAGAGAGCAAATTGGATGTGTGAAAAAGGAAGCAGTAGGAACAGTGCTGAACTGTTTTTGAGGCTGAATCAAACACCATCTAGAGTCTATGAGCTTTGCTAAGTAAAGCAAAGGCTTTGGCCAGAAGACTAATGAATATATAATTTATATGAGTAACAGAAACCCTTAAGGTATTCTAGATGTTTTATGCTTTCCAGATCAGTGAGTGCCATGATTCATAAAGTAAATAAACATAAGTGCACACACCCTTATTCACTCCCTATACCCTGATGAACATAAGTGCCCTAGAGGAAAGTTCGTTTTGATAAAGGTCACTTGTCTAGTGTCTATTTGCTGTATCTTTATTCATTGGGAATTGATGGAGCTTTAGAGGTGCTTATAAATACAGTATTGTTCTAAATTTATAAGCAATTTGAGTTTTCTAATTCTATTAGTGATAGCATATACAAATGTTGTAATTGGAACAAAAGCAAAAGTTACGTATGCCCAAGGAAGCCCTGCGTGCACGTGTTAAATTCTTGTAGCTGGGGAGATTCACCTGGCTCTGCCTCTGGTTACTTGTCAGAAATGAGAAGAAACTAGGGAAAAGCAGCAAGAAAAATCACAGATCATTTTAAAGCTGAAATGCTAATATGGTAACTGGTATCCTGTAAGTTAAAAGTATGTCTGCTTCAAGGTGTTTGATAAACTTTACTGAATTTTCTCAGGTGCCTAGCTTTTTTATTCCCTCTGGGGACTCAGATATATTTATATTATAGTGCCCTTGTTCCTGATTGCCTCACTCCTGTTCTGAAGCCTTAGCATAAACCACGTCTGATATCAAGAAAGTCAATTTACCCAAACTTTCCCCTTCTTCCTAGCAGCTGTTGACATTTTCTTCCTTAACACCTGTAGCCTGGGGAACCACCCCTCCTTCCCTTTCCACCCCGTACTAACCCTTTCTGGTGCACAATGCTCATTTTACACTGTGTACATTACTATTTGCTGTTGACATCTCTGTCTTTTCATTTCATCTCTATTATGACAATGTGGTCTTTTACTCTTTGAGATTAGGGACTGTAACCTCTTTGGCTCACTGTGTTAATCAGTATTTAATAAATCTCTATTGGTAGGATATAAAAATCACTGGAACTTTGAAGCTGAACAAAGGAAGTTTGAATCCATTTATGCATTTGGAAAATGGATAGATTCTTTTTTGCTGACACCTATAACATCACCAAAATGGCCCAGTTTCAAATTGATAAGATCCTTTAATTAAATGCTGCAAATCAATTTAGTAAACTATTTCTGGGTGAGAGAAAGAAGGTATTTGGGAGAAAATCAAGATTAGAAGATTGTGCAAAAAAGTTTGCTATTGTTTATATTGATTTATGTCAGTATATTTTTGCTGCTCAAAATAACTATTTGGAAAACTTTCCTCATCTCTCTTTATCTTTACTGGTTTATATCTATTATCCATGCTTTCTAATTACATATTCCACCCATGTTGTTTTTACATGTTGGTATCTAATATGATATGAGAGTAACTTGTTTGTTTACATGAACTTTGCCTGCTGTTTGTTAAATTATGACTTCGATGCTCATCTGCATGTGTGCCTTTAGGTCTTAAGATCAGATTTCAAAGCTGGGAGTACTTTGTATCTCTAGAAAGGATTTGTAAGATATTTATTAAATCCAGACCTTCTTTAAGGAATTTATTTAAATGGCTGCTAATTATATACATTGATATAAATAATAAAAAAGCATATATCTTCTCAAGGTTTATTCTAATCATCTTCAATAAGTTATATATATATATATATATATATCATTTAATATTTTTTGTATCAGTATTTTGCACAGAAGTCTAAGAACTAAATTTAGGCAACCTTTTCATTTTCAGTTAATATGTAATTTTAATCACTATTAATAAATTAGAAAGCCTTTTTTAAAAAGTTTTCTTGCAATCATTTTACATAGCTGAATATCTCATTCTTACTTAGTATTTAAATGCTTTATTTCCCATCTCTATTTTTTCTCAGTTTGTTTCATTTATCTTTTATATAATAGACCCAAACTGCCCTGTGTTGAAGGAGGAAGCTGCCTGATTTGCAGGCAGTTTAAATGTGATGAAAGTTAACCTCAGCTTATGTCTCTCCCTGCACAGTCCCTTCAGTCTGAATATGTTCATTACTAAGGCCTTGCCGCTCGGTGGAAGCTGTTCCTTCTTAGACATCTGGACAAGCCATGCGGAGGAGGGCACCAGCTTGCTGGAAGGATTTCTCTGCCTTCTTACCTTAAATTAGAGAGAGCACTAAGATAACACCTTCAAGAGACTTGAAACCAGACAGCTGGTTAATGACTACTGTAAATGCACTGAAACTATGTTTATGGAAATTTCAACACTTTTTAATGACAGTTTTAATGTTGAATTTGGTATTTTGAAAGTTATTTTTAATGTATTTCAGTAATACGTTTGTTATTACATTTACATGTACAGTGTTACATTATGTATGTATTGTGAACTTCAAAAGACTATTTTGATAAATTTATAAATATATGAAATTTATGTAAAAACTAGACTATATTTTGATTTAGATTTTCCTGTTGTTTGCTACCAAAAATTTGTATTTTAAACTTATTTAGTTTTAGTATGGCCTTTGTCTTTAATGATTCCTCTTTATTAAGAAAAAGAAAGGGAGAAAGTTTTTAGGAAGTGGTTTTTATGTTCCCACTGTGAATATGACAGATCAGTGTATTCTTTGGGGATGTCAGTCTAATTTAAAGAGTTCCTCCAAGTTTACTTCTACCAAGAGTAGACTTGTTTGATATGGTTTATTTAGGACAAAACCCTTCTCCTTCATTTTTGTTTCTTGAACCATTGAAATTAGCTTTGTATCCTTGGAAACTTAAAAAAAAAAAAAAAAAACTTACATCCAGTTGAAGATTTTAGAGTCTCCTGGTTGTTTCTCCTAAAAGCCTGCTTTTTCTCTATGAAATGACTGAACATTCCAATTGCTTTTCTTTTTTTTTTCTCCTCTCAAAAGAGTGCTTTAAAAAAAATGCCTTAAACCATTTATTTTGCCTCTGTTTTCTCTTTTGTACATATGCAGAAGAAGGATACATATTTTAAAATCCACATCTAAGGTCTCTGATCGCTCTGCCTCTTATCATACAATGATGATTTTAACGACCGACCGAAAAGCACTTCAAAAGAGTTATTAACTCGATTAGAATATTCTGCTTTTGGTACGAGGTGGTTGTTGCCTTGTAAATCACACGTGGTCTGACACCAGTTTAAATTAATGAGGGAAAACCTGAAAAAGATGCTGCTAAGTAGTTCTTTATATCCGGGAGTTAATTTTTAAACGAACAGAGTACAACTCCCTGACACACACGCAGGAGTATCTGGAACTAAGATGAAAATGAAAGGACCCTCTTTTGGGTACTCATAGCCCTTTCATGTGAGTCTAATCTTTTATTTAGGTCTCCAGAATCCTGTTGGCTTCATTTCCAGGGAGCTGGAGGGCTTTACATCTGGTTCTCTTCTGGCTGCTTAAGAATGGACTCATGCCCACCCTGCAAGTGCTGGGTCAGGGGATTCATGTGTAGGGCTTGACTCTGAGCAGTTGAGTTATTTATAATGTATTTATTAGGAAGGGGTACCTTGAGACTATTATTATGTGCTTCAGCAAGACATCTTGTTCATGTTTTATGCTTTTAAAGAGACGTTTGAATGAATGTTTGACTCAGGTTTGTTAACATAACCTTCAATAACTACAGTACCAAAAAGTTGCGCTCAATTGATGAAAAAAAAAAAAGAATTGTATGTTTTAGGAGTCAAAACTTAAAACAAGTGGAAATCAATGGTATATATTTTTTCTAAAGCTGAAAAAGTATTTTATTAAGAGTTATTGTAAAAAAGATTGATTACTTATATAGGAAGATGATTGTATTTTTTCAAATGATCATTGAAAAGTAATTCAGATGATGTTTGTGAAGTGTAGGGGAAAGGGAACTGTATTGATGTTTTTAGTTCTGTGAACACTAATTTGTGTGCAGCTATTAAAATGATTGTAAAGTTGACCACTGTAAAATTTCCATAATTATGTGTGTACATAAATTATATGTATTTACATGTGTATGTCTTAAAATTATTTGTACACATGTGCTTACATAGATACACCAAGAAGGGGATGTATATAATATAGAAAGTATATAGCAAAGTAATTCTACTCCAGTAATAAAAATTGTTTGACATGTATTTTGTTATGAATAGTTTATCTTCCAAAGTATATTTTGTTCTATTTTAAAGTATAGAAGAATACACTGCTAATAAATAATAAAAGTCTTATGAAATTTGCTTCTTGACTTTTATAACTTGGATTTGAAGTTTTCAATATGCCAAAGTTCATCATTTTATTTTTGACTCAGTGTGGTTGGTTCCTTTTGTGTTTCTCAAGATCTTCCTTCTGGATTCTTAGTTTATCTCTTATTGACCCTCTAGGTTGTGGCCATTGCTGGAAATACATGAGTTCAGAGAAACCTTGTGTTTTGAATTTTACAGAAGCCAGATAATGCTAGTTCCTCCCTCCATTCCTCCTACCCCCCAGTTTCCTTTCTGTTAGTAAAATACTGATCACGACCAGTGTTTGGGTCCTGCTAGGTCATTTATGACTATCAGTGACTGTTGGGTGACATAATACTAGTCATCAATTCCTTTTCAGAAAGGCTGACCCTTTTTCTTTTTTTTTTTTTTAAAGAGAGAGTGAGAGAGGTGGAGAGAGAGAGAGAATTTTTAATATTTATTTTTTAGTTCTCTGCGGATATAACATCTTTCTTTGTATGTGGTGCTGAGGATCGAACCCCGGGCCGCACGCATGCCAGGCGAGCGAGCTACCGCTTGAGCCACATCCCCAGCCCTGACCCTTTTTCTTAATGGAGAAATTCTAGAAATACATCAGATGGAACAAACTTCACATAGGGTGGATGTATGCCGTGAAGTTTCAGCTTGGGAGGAAGAGGCTGCGCTATTTATTGTGTAAGGGTCCGGCGAAGCGTCGGAGGGAGAGACCACACACAAGAGACTTACTCCATGCAATTGGCAAAAGGGGGATTTATTGATTCAGCATGCTGAAGTTCNGGGGGGGGGGCTTTGCATACATCAGAACAAATCATCATGAGGCGCGGGAAAATTGAATGACAACTCTGAGACATGATTAGTACATTCATTGGCGGGAACAGATTGGATGGAGGTGATTGGTCACTCCTAAGCGGGGTACACATTCAAACTGATTGGTTTTAGGGTCTGGATGCCTACATGCCGAGCTACTCAGAGCCCTTAGCTATTAAACAACCAGGGAGTCAGTGGAAATATTTACTGGGCAGTTAGGGTATTGTCCTAACAGCTACAGGGATTACAGGTTTGGGGGGTAGCAGAGGAATTTTAACCATACCTAGTCTTCTATTTTTTAACCCAGGCCTTGCAGTTTAGAAACTTTACAATGCCCGGTCTTTTACACTTTAACTCAGGCTTTTCGGCTTAGAAACAGCTTAGAAATTTTACCTTTACAACTGGAGATATTTTATGTATTAAACTGGATCTTTTTGGGTTGGGATATTTCTGAGTTTTTTTTTTTCTTCTTCTTCTTTTCCTTTTCAGAATGCAAAGGAAAGATTAAGGGTGGGAAGGTGGTTTCATTTATGGACTTAGGAATCTGCAAGTAGCTATCCTCCTAACACTGCCTGAGACCATATCTTAGATAAGAGATTTGTGAATCCACAAACCTGTCAAGAAGGGCAGAAAAATCTCTTTTCCTATAAATTGAATTATTGTGGAAAAGAAAATGAAAAAAAAAGAACAATTAGTTTTAACAAATTTCTTACTTCTTACCTATTAGTTCACATGGGTTTGTTATTCTTATATGCAAGATGGTTGATAAACCTCCAAACACATCTGGAAAGATTACTCAATATATAATGCATATTCATCTGTGATTCCCATATAGCAGGAACATGAATTTGTTAACTATTAGGTACACAAATGTATTTTCAAAATTGTTTTCATTTACATGCTTTCTTAGGTGACATGTTAAACCATTATGTTAAGTGTCTCTGTAAACAACTGTTGCTGTATAAACAGAACAGTACTCTATGTAAGAGGTCTGTGTTCTTAGAGTACTGTCATCCAGCAGAGTTAATGATGCCTGCAAAGTCTTTCACTGCTCTTTGCAAGAATTTGGTCACTGTGTGTTTTCTAAGAAGATCAATCAGAGATAATTCCAGTTATAGCAGGCTATAACTTAAAGCAGAAGATAAAAGTATTTACACATTGGTTGCATAGGGGTGGCAACTATGGCATATGAAAGAAAGTAAAAAAAAATAATCAAGTTATTTTGAGCTGAATTGAAATGTTAATATATTCCTACCCAGTTCCTCCTCTATGGATTGAATTATGATAATCATATCAAGAAGGAGAACAATAGCTTTTCTAGAGAATTTGAAACTCTTTTTGGTATGTGCCAAATATAAGCTTATATTAAAAATGTCTTAAGGCAAAATATATTTGGGGGACCAGGTTTAAATGGACAAACAAAAATTAGCTGGGCTCTTAACTTCTCATGTGTCATTTTAGACCTGCATACCATCAAAATTGAAGTGAATCCCATTACCACTTGATATTTTCTCCTTTGGTTTGAATCAAGTTTACTATAAAACACTTTTGAGAATTTGGACTCTATATGAGAAAGGTACATGGTAGTAACTGTAGACATGACTGCAGCTTCAATGTTGACATTCAAACATCAGATTTGGGGGGTAATACTCTATCAGATGTATTTTGCTTATTATGAATCTTTTCCAAAAGTATCTGAAGTGGCTTCAAAAAAATAGCAAATGTGGTTCAGGAGGCTGAGGCAGGAGGATCGAAAGTTCAAAGCCAGCCTCAGCAATTTAGTGAGGTCCTAAGCAACTTAGTGAGACCCTGTCTCAGAAAAAAAAGGCTGGGGGGAGATGTCTGGGGGCATTGCTTAGTGGTTAAGTGCCTCTGGATTCAATCCCCTGTACCCTATATAAACAGCAGGTGTACCACATGGGAGAGAATCGAGGCTTTGGACACTGAATTTTGAGGCAACAGATGGTGAGACTTAATGTGGAGATAAGTAGGCCTCTCAAATGTCACAGGATATCTGTTCTCTTCCTAGGTTAGGCAACTCCAGGACTTCTTATTGGGATGAATTGCACCCAAAAATTTAAGAAGAGATTATCTCCATGTGAAATTTTGTCAGTCTCTACATTCAGATCCCCCCAAATCATTATGTCACGTACATGGAATAGAAATTTCAAAAAACAATTTGAAAGTGGAGATCAAAACAGAATAATGACAGTCCATTATCTATCATCTATCTGTCTATCATCTATCACATATCTGACCTTTACCAGAGCTAAACTAACTTTACTATAGTTTATGTAAATATCTCTGTGTATTGTGGAGTTTAATAAAACTTGGAAGAAACAGAGGGCCCAGAGAGTTGAGATTAAAGTAGCTGGTTCACCCTTGTATTTGTTAAAAACAAAAACAAAACAAAACAAAAAAAACCTTTGGAAGAGAGGGAACCATATCCTAAAATCTAGGTTTCTTTCAAGCAGAGACAACATTTCACACTATTCTACACACTTCAGAGAGATACCATCCGCAGTGGCATGTTACAAGATGTAACCAGTTAACCATTCAAGCACTTGGCATTGTCATATGCTATCTGCTGTGTGACCAGCAGGGATTGGATGGGCCCAGGATTTCCTGATGTGAGGAAATGAATAGTACTCACTTCCTCTTTCTCCCTTGACTCCTCTTCATACCTATCTGATTCACAAGTGTGACTGGCCAATGCTAGACTTTTCCTGCTACTTTGGTGTGATGAGTAGCTTGCTTTACCATTTAGACCACATACCTGCAATGACTGGGTCAGTCCTCTTTCCATCACCATAACAAACACCTGAGATAGAGTTGTGCTCTATGTGGTTCAGAGTTCTAGTTTCTGGTTTCAGAGTTTTGGGTTTTTAATGGATAAATGTGGTTTCTGAGGTTTCAGCTCATGGTCTGTTGGCTCCATGGAAGGAGGCTTATGTCCGGGAGCACATGGTGGAGTAACGCTGCTCACCTCATGGTGGTTGGGAAGCAGAAAGCTCGATTTTTATAAAAGTTCCTCCCCCAAACCCATTAGAGCTATAAATCTGTTAATGGATTAATCCATTCATGAGATTGGAGCCCTCATGATCCAATCACCCCCTAAAACCCCACCTCTGAACACTGCTGCTTTGGGGATCAACACATGAACTTTTGGGAGATGTTCCAAATTCAAACCATAACACTGACCAAGGAATAAATGGCAAGGAGCCACATCAAATGGCAATTATGCCTAAAGAGCTGTGATGTGTTAGTAGAAACACTGATGGCAGAATCACTAATCATGTCACATCATGTGAATCTCATGTCACATCACCACAGAGCCCCACCTAGGAGTTCTCTTCCTCTGCAATTGCACCAGAGGCTCAATGAGGGACACTGCCTTGTCACGACAAGAGGTGGGATCGCTGAATGCAACCTTGAAAATCAACGAAACTGACAAACGGAAGACTTTCAAATAGCTTGATCTATTTGAAAGTCAAATCTGTTGGGAAAATTATCCTTAATTAAAGATTACTGTTTAAGTGACAGGTAGTTAAATTGTTAATATTAAGGTAAACCGAAAAAGCAAAAGTTCAACCATATGGTCTGGAGAAGAGATAAAATTTTGTCAATTATTAAGTCAGGATCTCGGAGAGATAGGAAAGTC